GCGAGAAGCCTACAGATCAAAACTTGAAGTTTCCATATTAGCTGGCTATTTGCAGTATGTTGCTGATGGCAAAGGACAAAGAAAACAAAAAATGGCAATTTATCACATTCGCCCGGTTCAAAATACTTCATATCGTCTCAGAGTTCTTAACAATACCATTGCATGTTCAGCTTAAAAATTTCGTACCGGTTTATCAGAGGCTGCCCAAGCAAGACTTGGGGGATTACTCAACAACGGAAAGGTTTCGGCATGCTGAAGAGACTTCTCAAGCCTACCAGTTCAAAAAGAAGAAGAAAATAACCCCCCCTTCCCTTTTTCTAAATCATGAATTTAGTCCACGAAGAATTAAATAAGTAAAAGTCTTGCACCGAGACGCATGATCTCCCGCTGCAGCTCATACGGGTTCTAAACTGAAGTAGAGGCGTAAGGCTAGCTGGGGATAGAATATGGCGTATAGCGATTGCTTTGTAATAGGTACATTATGCTAGCAGCTGATGGCCTAGCTCCACAACATAAACGGACTTAAGAACGCGCTTCTTCCCACCTGCAGCTTGCCTCATTGCACATGGAAAGCCCTTTCAGCTTCGATACAATCAAAAGTAGCTGTTCACTATGGATGAGTCTACAAGAAGCGCAACCAGCAAGACACCAGCTACTTTTAACGAAATCTGTACTATTTGCCATAAGCCTTTCACAAAAGGTAGGAGTTAAATAATTTAACGTCTTGTTTCTTGCACAGCCCTGAAATACTGGCTAAACTTATGTTGCAGAATATTCATTCAACCGCCACGTCTCTTATTGTCGCCGTGCCAAAGCAAAGCGCAAAAATCGGCCGAGATCTTGTCGCCGCTGCTACGTATCAAAAACTAAATGCAGTCTCTCACGGCCTCAATGTAGTCGATGCCAGGCTCAAGGATTAGAATGCATGTATGAAGGAGCCGTTCAGCAGCCGCTAATAGAAAATCCGTCTATTTTACAACAGCAGAAGCCGGGTTTGACCGCCGATTCGTGCCAGACCGAATCTTTAGCACCGGGCACGCTATCTTCAGATTACACGACACATCCATATAGTACATCTTCCAGTTCGTCGGATGTGCATCAATCCAGCGATGAACAGAGTGCAAACAATTCGAATACTGAAAAGACCCCGTTTCCCAATAGTACTAATTCATGGCAGACAGCCCTGAATTTTCACTCCTCTACTTTAGAAGAAGAAGATGGGACTCAATCTGGGGCTTCGACAGAATTATTGCATACATATCAAGTGTTTACTACGTCAAAATTTGCGGCGGGTCTTCTTTCGCAGGCCATATCTGCCTTTCCACAGATGATGTTGCGCCGCCAGACATTTCCACCCTTCATACACGCTCATTGGCATCTGCCATCATTGCCCGAGACCTTGGCCAATTGCATGAGCATAGCACAGCTTTTCGCTACTCGGACGACTGAGACAAGACCATTCCTTTGGCGAACAATTGGGACTGAAGTTAAGCGCCTGCAAGATGAAGTATGCCCTTACGAAAGGTTTTTCGCAGCTTTGGGGATTTAGACTAATATTGCAAAGGTGGAATTAGCCACGCTACTTGATCTTCAAAATGCCCTGCAATCCGTTATACTCTTTGTCATCATGGCAATTGTCGACCAGGATTCCGGCACATTATCTCTAGCGCCGAATTTTTTCCTAATATTCAAAGTACGAATCGGTTGAGAATGATCTTAGGCTCTGGACTAATTCTTACAGGTACTGTGTAACCGATCTCGCGATCTTCTTGGAGGCAGCTGTTTCACATATCCAGGAGAGGCATTGCCAAATACGAGCTGGGAAGACTGGATCTATGCTGAGACCCGACGCAGGTATGTTCGTAAAAACATCTGCATCAGCCACAGATATTAACATAACTCAAGAATTATTTGCGTCTGGTTTTTGATAAGCCGCATCCTCTCTGTACAAGCCGGCAGCAGCTCCATGCCTGAATATCCCATGAGCTTACTGCCTGTGGTTTCTAGTAAAACACTCTGGGAAGCCCGCAGTATTACAGAGTGGCAAACTGAAAAGGCATTATACGACGCAAGCGACCCTATGACCTCGTTTGAGGAGCTTATCGACGCAAAGAGACGGTCGAATCAGCCATACTATCGACGGAAATTGGAAACATGGGACGCGGGGGCGGACAAGATGGGAATAATGCTGAATATTGCGGCGGAATTGGTGTAGGCCTTGCCTACTGAAAAGCAAGTAGCTTCTCATAATCTTGAATGATATATTTGTATACTGATTTAGATGTCGCGCTTGCGTTGGCTAACCCGAGATAATGTATCTAAATTGGCTTTCCTTGAATCTCAAGACAAAGAGGCATCCCTACGTATCAGATTTGAAGTTTCCACAAATTCCTGTAAGCGCCGTTCGAAGTAACCCGTGAATACGTACCTTTACAGATAGCATCGAGTAAACACGGTGAGATTTGTCTATAAACGCATGTTTTATTCTTCAATGCTTGTGAAATCCTTTGCTATTGTAATATCTATATAATTCACACGTAACACAAGCTGAGGTTGGCAAGGATATCGCTGCCTACTCATAACCATAGAGCGGGCTCGGATGTATAGAATAAACCGCTTACTTCCGACCAATCAGCTCCAGATATTGTCCAGCAGCACTGATCACTTGCTCTTCAAAAGACTTGAAAGTAATTCCAAAAGTCTTTTCAGCCTTAGTGCTGTCAACCCTAACTTTCAGAGTCTTCGGACGCTCTGCTGTATCGACCTTGAAGATGCCCTCGGCACATTCCTTCGGGAAATGCTTCTTGATAATATCAAAAGCCTGTGACCATTCCACATTCTCGAGAGAGTGAGAGTTTGACAAATAGTCTTCGTTGCCAGGAATAGCTGGATCAAGAGCTCGGACATGCATCAGCGCCACATCGTCGACATGGACTGGGTTACACGCGGTTGTTCTCTGTTGCGGATGGCCTACCAACAGGCCCAAAAGCATTCCGTTGGAACCTTTGAAGAGCTCCTCTACCGTAGTGGCGGAGTCATCACGGCCAAGTACAAACACTGGCTCGATGGTAATAAGATCGAATGATGGCTTATACTTGGCCATCCACTCTTTAGTAGCTTCAAAAGCCAAAGCCTTTGACGCAGCGTATGCTGTAATCCAGTTGGTGTATGGTCCAGCAGTGACAGCGCTGCGGTGAGTCTCTGTAACATCATGGCATACATATTAGCAAAATTCTCTATGTGCGGGATATCACATACCATCAACAACAGCATTTGTGCCAGCGACAGCAAAGCCGGCGATCGAAAGATAAGAGCCGGTGATGACAACTCTTTGGATGCTTTCCACCTTGGCTGCCGACTCTAGCATTCCTACGCTCCCTTTGATTGCCGGCTGAATATAGCTGGATTCAAATTCGCTTTCGAGTAGATCAGGCGCGGCAAAAGGCGAGGCCACATGCACAACGTATTTCGCTCCTTTGACAGCATCATCATAAGCGCCCGATACGGTAATATCGGGAACAGTAATGTACTCTATCTGAGACTCATACGGGGCAGTAGACTTGAAAGCTTTAATCTTTGCTGGACCTTTATCGTTTCTGACTGCAACGCGGACTTTATAACCCGCTTCCAGGAGCAACACTAAAGTTCGGATACCAATAAGGCCCGTGGCTCCAGTAAGCTGTCAATTTGTGAGTAAATGTTCTATTTTCAATATCAAAGCAACCAACTCATAATCCAAGGAATAAATGAAGGTTGAATAACGAGGAGCGATACTCACAAGAACAAGATCGTTGGCCATGGTTGTTGTAGAGTAAGTAGCAAGTTCTGTCGTAGTTTAGACTGTATTAAATTCTCTGGATTATGACTCGACGAAGCAGACTCTTTATAGTTATTCAAGAACTACCAACTGAATAACAGTTTAGTAAACTTTTAATTACCAGAGTATTCAATAATAACTAAACACTAGAGCGCATGATGAATCATTGCAAGGATGGTTGAGGTTATCTCGGCGGAGTTACAAGCACACTTTGCCGACGCCCCGACGGAGCAACTGAGATTTTTCTCTATGAAGACTTATGATATTGTTACTTGATTCTTTTGAAATATTTGCATTTGCGATATTCGGTCAGGGAGGCCGACTATCATGGTCGACTAATACGGGCGACCAATAAAGCCGACCACAGGGGCCGACCAAAGTGGCCGACTAGCGGAGCCGAACAATGTGGCCGGTTTATAGTTTCCTGACTTGACAATATTATACCTGAGCAATTAATTGGCGTAGACGAACAAATTGTTTCTAATTGGTAATCCCTAAAGGAAATTGGCCTTCAACAGAAATCCAAGTTGTCAAACATTCGTTACCTATGCTAGCAGAGAAGTCATTCGTCACTTACCTGTCTTCACAAGAAGGTAGCATTGGGAAGTTGTCAAATTCAATCATGCTACAGCGTCCCGTGATTACGCAATACGTAATAAGCGATTTATCTTAGAGCAGCCTTAATGCGAGTTGTCGCAGTTAACCGTGATGCTATGTTTTCACCTTAACGCCGATGGCGATAGGACTGAAAACTCCGATCCTCTTATTACCGACCCACAACAAATGGAAATAGTTAAAAAGCTGTCATCTTTCTTTCCACGGCGACTTTCACTTCCAGATTATGGTATGATGGCTTCCGAGCGCCTGTAAATCGGCACGTGTAACGAGATTGATATGGTTGTCGTTTTGAATCAACGGTTGAAACTTCCATCTACATCGAGAATATCCTTGCACCTGAGGGCTTTACTCGCGCCAATAGTCAATATTTCCCTATCGCACGACAAGATCTTTACACTTCTTGGTAAAGAAACAGAAGAAGACGGATTTTTTTGAACAATACTCCTGCAAATTCAAAGGATGTTGGACAGCAGTGTTATAAGGATACCCTTTGCGGCTGCTCCTCTTCAGGTTATCTATCAAAATCGAGCTGCGCAAATGTTGTATTTTTCTATTGAGAACGCTATTACAGACGTGATCTCGCTTGGGCAAGGTGTTCGTCTACCTTCTCTTCTACTCTGACTGCTAGTTCGCTGTGAATCTTCTTCAAGACTTGGAATACCTTGTCTCTCGTCTCCATTTCAACGCCTGCAATGTCGCGACCAAGGCTTCTTACCATTCTGTCTTGCCAGCCTTCATATTGCGGATCATCTAAGTGCGTCCAGAAAGTGCGAGCAAATTTAAGATCTAGCTCCTCCTTCTCTTCGTTTGACTGGGACGCAATTTCAGCCAGCCATTTCTTGTGCTCAGGTATAGACGAGCTTTCAAAGTGGCGGAATTGCATTGTGTCCTTGGGAGTCATGAAACCTGGATGCGAGCCATAGTTCCCAAGGACAGAGGCCGCTCCATCTCGGAGTAATGGGTTAAATGCATTCTTTGGCTGATTGACTGGAATCTGCTGGTAATTAACGCCAAGTCTATAGCGCTGTGCGTCTGGATATGCAAAGAAGCGAGCTTGTAACAGAGGATCCTCTGAGGGTTCGATTCCCGGAACCAAGTGAGACGGAGAGAATGCGGCTTGCTCAATTTGAGCAAAGTGATTTTCAGGGTTTCGGTTCAACGTGAGTTTCCCGACTACCCTGGCGCCAACTGTCCCTAGGTCTGTTGGGTATGTCCCCATATCCCAGTGCTTTGTCATGTCTAGGATGTTATACCCAAACTTTCGGACATCTGCTGGATCAATGACCTGCACTTTGGCCGTATATGTTGGGTATTCACCGCGTTCAATAGCATCGTAAAGATCTCGAGCAGCATGATCAGGGTCGTTGCCAGTCATGTGTGGAATATCTTCATCAGAGTGGTTTTTGTAGCCCAGATCAGCCTCCAAGTACATGTGAACATATTTGAAGGATCCGTCTGGCATCACCCATTTGTGTGCATGTCCCATATATCCGTTCATATGCCGGTACGAAGAGAAAGTGCCGTAATCACTGTACAACCACATCACCATATGGAGTGATTCTGGGTTCTGAATGACCCAGTTCCAGAATCTCGTTTGGTCTCGCAGATTAGAGCGAGGATCCTTTTTCTGGGCGTGGATCATGCCAGGAAACTTGATGGGATCGCGAATGAAAAAGAAAGGCACATCGTTCCATACCCAATCCCAGTTGCCCTCCTCGGTATAGCACTTGACAGCAAACCCACGAGCATCACGAACAGAATCGGCAGAACCGCGCTCGCCGCCAGTGGTGGAAAAGCGAACAAGACATTGTGTCTTCTTCCCGATCCCATTTAGCATGCCAATGCTACATATGTCTGAGATATCATGTGTAACCTGTCAATAGCCAAGTTAGTGTGAAGCAAGGCGGCATGGATGATTATACAAATATACCTCGAATTCTCCGAACGCGCCAGCTCCTTTGGCGTGAACAACTCGTTCCGGTATTCTCTCTCGGTTCAAATGTGACAAGAGATCGATAAGTTGGAAATCTCTCAGAAGTAGCATACCAGATGCCGTAGGAGAAGACTCGGGCCTTTTTGCTGGGCACCCATTTGACGTTGTAAAAACTTGTGGTTTTTGCTGATGTTCATTGTCACTTGTGCCTCCTTTGGGCGCCTTATCGGTATGAGCCATTGCTGAATGAAAGAGATCTCTGCTGATCGTAGTGGTTCAAACACGACCAAAGCTTCAACTGCAGAGTGAAAATACACTTTTAACTTGCTTGGGAAGATACAGAGAGAGCATAACTAATACTGGAAAGAGTTGAGCTTAGTAGAAGTCCCAGCTGTAAGTCGGCCGATGTGAGACATGGGTCCTGACTAGATCCGTAAGAGTATTACGGCGGAGCCAGTGGCGGCGGGACGGCCCATCGCCCTAATACCGATTTTGAATGCCCTACGTTCAGGGTTGTAAATTTAGTTCTTAGTTTTTAGTTTTTAGTTTAGTAACTAAAACTAATTTAGTTTTTAGTAACTAATTAACTAATTAAATTAGTTTTAGTTAATTAACTAACTAAACTAATTTATTTT